AAGAAAGGTCTCCTGCTAAGTGGGACCCAACTGTTGAAGGGTATTTGAAGTTTCTTGTTGATAGTAAATTGGTTTATGATACCTTGGAGAGGATTGTTGATGAAGCTCCTGTTTCTTATTGTAAGATTTTCTCTCTTTTGTTTACAATACAAATTGTTGATTATTATAGAATTTTCATGATGACTTGATTTGCTTTTGTGGTGAGAAATACACGTGTTGATCGGTGTAATTAATGCTTAATTATTCATAATCTTTCTGTTTTTAGTTTCATTAGTCATTTTCTTTTATTTTTTGATTGTGGAATTTGATTGACAAGTTTATAAGTAGGGGCCCAAAAGCATGAAGAGATAGAGGCCTTAATTCAAAGAATTTGTTACTCTATTTAATGATGAGATACTTTTTAATTTTGGTTAAAGTATAATAAGCCTATTGTGTACTTATGTGAGGACTTGAGGAGGTGTGCTTACTTGATGAATGAGTATTCTTTGAAGTAATCATGCTTAACCAAAGTGCTTATATTCAATGATTCCAATCTGTTGCAACTCTTTTTAGGTGTAGCTGGTTAAGGCCCTTGTATCGGTACCTCTTCTGTATCTTTCATGTTATCTAGTCTTAGAGTAATATGCTAAGAATGCTATGTAGGGTTAAAATTATTGAATATACCTGCTGTTGTGTGTAAGATCACTTGTAGAATAGATCACTAATTTGAGATCAGTACCCGATTCATACTTTTAGTGTAACCGGTTCTCTGAGTCTTGTAGGATTACATTCATTGAATATTCCTGATGTTATGTGGAAATACTTGTAGAGTAGATCAGGTGTTTGAGATAAGTCTATGGAGTTTGGTCTAGGTCGAATTGCCTTTCAGTGAATTGTGTTTTGTGATTTTGAGACTGGTCACTTGTTAGCTGTTAGATTGGGGCTAATTTTCTGGATGATCTAAACTTTATATTATAGGTTGCTAAATGCTAAGTAGGTTTTTCCAGTTAATATATTTTACCTCTGGCATGTATCTTCAACTCTTTCAAATTTTTAGGTTGATCTTCTCAACTCCTTCAAATTATAGTTTCATTCATATTGTAGTCATATCGATGTAATTATCTTATTCGTTAGTTGCCATTTGATCTTATTTGGCATCAGAAAGTTAAGAGCTGCAATATTCAATTTTTCGTCACTATAAGTCTCTGTGTGAAGTGAAGTCATTTTGAGCAGTCATGTAACTTGTTTATGATGATCCACATCCATTGTTTTTATTATCTCATTGGGTTCTAAGGCTTTAGAGTATGGACCTTGATGTCCATCCTGACAATCCTTTGAAGGTATCACCCTACCAGCACTATATTGGCATAATTGCGGGGTTGCATAAAAAGGAAATTAATCTCCTTTGGCCGTCATTTGAGATATATTTTACAGTTGGTCTCTAGAAATTTATCTTTAGCACATTAGAATAGCTATTTTGATTGCTGTGCCTGGGGCACGAATCTAAATATCAGCTTTTCACTTGTCAAGACTGGCCTTAAGATACTTTGAGATTGTTAATTTTCATTATTGCAAAGATCCTCTCTTCTCATGGACCATGTCATCATCAGAGAATTGTCTTTTACTCCGTAAAAGTCAGCTATAAGTTATGTGCTACTGTTGCCAACAATTAGGGAAAAAGACGTGCTTTTCGATTGGTTTTGCTCTGAATGCACGCTCAGATGCATTCTGTTTTCCTCTAGTTCGACAATAGAGATTGTATAATTCTTTGGAATTTCTTACATGATGCTCTAGTCTTCTGGACAAGCCTGCCGCATTTCATGTCTTTGGAGGCTGGTGATAATTAGAATTGCAGTCTAGTTGTAACTTTGTCACTGGTCTCTGGCTGCTGAACTTACCTGTTATTTTTGACCCGAAACTTCTAATTTCAGATGCTGAGTTTAAGAATACAGGATTGGAACGATCACAGTGTTTGGCTAAAGATCTGGAGTGGTTCAAAGAGCAAGGCTATTCTATTCCTGAGCCTTCCGAGCCTGGTGTTACATATGCTAATTATCTCGAAGAATTAGCTAAGAAGGATCCTCAGGCATTCATTTGCCATTTCTATAATGTATATTTTGCCCACTCTGCTGGGGGCCGCATGATCGGAAGGAAGGTATGCTATTACTTGTTTAGTAAGTCCTAGCTTTGCATTACATATCTATCATGTAGTTGTATATAACTTTCAAATACTGATTCTTGAATCTGTTAAGAACTTAAGATTATGTGCTGCTAGATATTGTTTTGGGGCCTGATAGCTCCTCTGCATGTGTCAGTTTTCCTGTTTTCGTCTACATGATTCCTATGCTTGATCTGAGGTGACATGAAGACTCTCTAAGCAGTCTGATATCTTTGTGCCTAATGTTTAAACTTTAAAGATTATAGTACACTTGTGGTTTGGAATCTTCTTTCATTGCTTATACCCTGATCTACAAAAACGATACCTCCTCCATCATTGACCAGGCGTCATAGTTTCTATTCTTAATTTTCTGAAATCCTTGCCCATGGTTATTCTGTACTAGAAAACTTCACTCATGCACCAATTTATATTTACTAACCAACTGTGACTTATCATATGACTAGTAACGTTACTTATGCAACTCTCTTCGGATATTTGTTGTTTTTCTACTTTTCATGTGATACATCTCTCATACTTTATGCTGTTGTGTGTTTAATCTGTGAAATGTAGAAGTTGTCTGAATGCTGTTGCACCCATAGGTTGTAATAGTGAGACTAATAAGTAAATATTGATGATGTTGCTATCCTTAGAAGATGGCTAGTTGAACACTAAGCAACACTGAGATCACACAGTTGATGTTATTCATTTTGCTACCTAATTTAATGGTGTTAGTCGTTATCAAAAATTCTGGACAAGATACATAAGACGCGGTAGACTTGTCTACTTTTGAGGGTCGCAGTTCCATTTATTTGATCATCCCTTTCTGTAATAGGTTTCGGAGAAGATACTGAACAAAAAGGATTTGGAATTCTACAAGTGGGATGGTGACCTTTCTCAGTTGCTCCAGAATGTGAGGGTGAAGCTAAATAAAGTTGCTGAAGTATGTCTCATTTTCTTACCCTCTATACTTGGAAAACTTTGTTTTCAATTATTTCAGTAACTTTTCCTTTTTAAAAAAAAAATATCACGTACAACGATTTGGGCAACTTTTGGGATAATCCTATCTTGCTAAGTTAGTTGAGTATTAATCTAGTTAACCCCACCTGCTGGGATGTTTAGTGTATTACTCATAAATTAAGCCGTCTTGGAGAAAAAGAGTTGATATGAAACTTCAACAACCTGAATATAGAAAGCTCTATTAAATTCGTGTTGATTTGTTTTGCAGAGCTGGACAAGAGAAGAAAAGAATCACTGTTTAGAAGAAACTGAGAAGTCATTCATGTACTCAGGGCAAATCTTGCGTCTCATATTCACATGAAACGTGAAGCTACCACATCGCTGGGTTTTCTCGTAGGTCCTTCAATGGTGCACACACATCATTACTTGTTTATATCACTCAACATATGTTTTCTTTGTTGAATTTGTTTTTCCAATATTCTGTATGAAAACTCAGGTTCACAAATGTGCATATATCAAAATTCAAGTTTCAGAATGCTGTTTCAATATGTTTAGTTGCTTTGGTCTGGTTGAGGTTTTTGCCTATACTCTCGAGTCTCGGCATTAAGTTCTACTTTGAAAGCTTCTAAAGCTAAGCTAACCATTGGTGTAAGTGTAACAACGGCTTCGCATGCAAGCATGCTCAAATATCAGCCGCAAATATAATCCTTTTGTCCAAGCTATTAACTTGTGTTTTAGCTGTAGTATTGCAGTTTTATTGAAACTTTGGATGTATAAACAAATAAGATGCAATTCATTAATCTCTATACCATTCTGACAATGTATTACTATAATTCATAACTCATTAATAGATACAGTAATTAGAAGTAATATTGTAATAATAATACTACCTCCATTACAGATTATGTACAACGATTAGATATTTTTCCTCTTTGTTTTATGTCAAATTGTTGCACGTAACCTGTAACGGATGTAGTAATATGAAATCACAAACAAATATTAGTATTTTACAAAATTATACAAAATTACTGAAGTTTAAAAATTCTACACCTACCATAGCACTCGGAAAAAATAGTATTGTAGTTGGTGATAAATCTTTGGGATTGATGAAAACAACAATGTTCCTCGTGTAGAAGAGGGAATAAAAATGTTATTTTAAGTAACCTCACGTGAAATCTCTGGAGTGCCACGCGCAACACGAGTTTTTATGATGTGTTAACAAGTGGCTACCCTGTAGGCTGTAGCCCAGTAGAGTAAACGAACCAGCTCGAACAAAAGTTTTACCCGAGTACCAGTTATTGTGGTTAGGATTTCAATGAGTCGATACGCTTGTGAATAACTCGTAATAAAATTCAAGTATTATATTCTTATTTTTCTCTATTATGTGAGGAATAAATATTAGAAACATGAATGTAATTTAGGGACGGAGAGAGTACTCCGTATTACAAAAATAATACTCTGGAAAATTCACGTGATTACTTCGAATTATAATGAATAAAAAGGTAATGTTATATTTAGCCCTAAGGGCTATATATAAGCATTAAATACATTCTTGAAAATGATATAAAATTAAGAATTCATGACAAAACACATGTAAATCAGTGTAATTAGTGTTCATATTTTTTAAGTTTTTATGATTTTCAAGTGAAAATTTAATGCTTATATGTAGCCTTATGTATAACATTTTCCTGAATAAAATTGTCTATTATATCAATGATTACAACCAACTCCCTATGACTTATGAAAAGTTTGATCATTAGACATTTAGTCATTTTAAAAGATCTTACAAAGAATACAAGTATATGCCATTTTTTTTTTTTTTTTTGAATTTTTTGTAGTTATATAATTATTCACCCCTTCAAAACTTGATTAGTAAAAAAAAAAAAAAAAAATGGTACTTGACTCAGGATTTATGTGGGATTTATTACAAAAACGTGTAGCTGAAGCTGACTGCTAACATCTGTTATGTTTCTGTATAAATAAGAACTGTCTTCCTGCTTTTAATTCACATTAAAATCCCAATTTTCTCCCACAAATTTCCTGAAAATTTTGCAAAAAAAAAGTATATTCCTTTTTTTTTTCTTTGAAAAAATGGTCAGACTTCACATTTTCTTGGCCATTTTTTCCATCATCTCCATCCACGCTTCATCATCATCACCAATTCCTTCTACTGAATCAACACTCCCTCTTTTTTCTATCAGGATTAAGCCTAATCAGGTGATTAATTACCATCTTTAATTATATTTATCTTTTCATTTTTTTTTTTTTTATTAAAGTATGATCTAATCACTTTTACAAGATTCTAGCTTTTTTGGGTGCATTAATTTTGTGATTAATTATTTGATTGTTCTTTATTATCTAAATTTTAGACTACTGCTTCAACATGCACATTTAGAGTTCGAATTACAACAAGCTGCAGTTCTGTATCATACACTAGAGATCAAATTAGTCTTTCTTTTGGTGATGCTTATGGAAATCAGGTATTTTACTCCAATTTTTTGAGGTTACATTTGTTCAATTTTTATGATAAATTGTTGATTTTTATTTGTTTTCTGGATTAAATACCCACCTAATTATGCAAAATTGCAAAGTCAAATTAGGGATGATGGGGTTTTTCCCTTTTAGTTGTTGACTTAATTAGTGATTGGTATTTGGTAATAAATCAGATTGATGTCCTGCAATTGGAAAGAGGAGAAAATCAGATTTTGTTTAGTGGGTATTTTGCAGATTTTATTATGATTGATCAATGATGAATGAATAAGGAATACCTTAAATATGAGAAAATTTGGAGCAGATAAGTAGAATAAGATGAAAACTGAGGAAATCAGATAAACCTATGAAAGAACATTGAAATGTGGTTAGAGGGTATGTTATATGTATTACTGATTGGTACATTCTGGTAAACTAATAGGTGTATGTGCCGAGGATTGATAATCCATCGGCTCGTGCTTTCGAGGCGTGCTCCACGGATACATATGATGTAAGCGGACCATGTACATATGATGTATGCTATGTGTACCTATACCGGAGGGGACGTGATGGCTGGAAGGTACAGAATGTGCAAATTTCCAGCCCTTATATAAGGACTGTGACTTTCAAATACAACACATGGATACCAAACGATGTTTGGTTCGGGTTCAACTATTGCAATGGTGCGTCTGCCTCTTCGTTAATGTAGATCCAGAGATGATGAGTAATTGAGCTGTCATGATATACAATAATACGAAAATCTTGCTTAATTATCTTTCTAGTACTATTATGTTTTTTGACAGTAGTGTATTTGAGATTATTATTCTGCACCTTTGATCAGTGAACATAATGCTGCTCTTAAGATTTTATATATTGTGATATGCTCAGATTGAGATTTCATCTTGGATTTGTTTTGTGTTTTATTTGTTTGTTTACATATTGATCAGTGACTTTTCTGTATTATGCCTAGCTAGCATAATTTGAGGTACTGATGCCACGGACTTCTTATCTCTATGTCGACTCTACCAACATAAGCTTATACTGACTTTGTTAGATGACTTGTAGTTTTCTTGTATATACTCGTGCTAAATGGTGTTGGTTCATGCTAAATTTATTTGGATTACTTTTCCTGTGATATGTGATGTCCAACTTAGCTTCTTTTTTAAGCTTCTTATCTGATCTTTGTTACAGTAATTGATAGCTTCTGTATTCTGCTTTGCTTTAGACCATATCTTTTAGTATTGCCAATAAACATCTATTGTTATCTGTGCTGTTATACGGATTCATTATGGTCTTATTCTTGTGAACTGTGAGGTATTTAATTGGACTAAAGATTATGTGTAGGGATTGCATGAGAAATTATTCTTCTCCCTAGTGTTTTGGTGTTATCATCTCTTTTCTTCTGGAGTGCGAAAAAAAAAAGTAAATCTTGTCTCATCAACTTGCACTGCTAAGGTTTCAAAAATTCTGTTTCTAGTTAGTCAAGAGGTAGGTTGTAAAGATTGGTCTCTGAAGTTCAACGTGTGGTTACTTAGCACTATTTGTTGTTAGAATGAACTATGGTGCCCCACAAAGAAAGCCTTTGAATTGGCATGGCTGGCCTCTGCGGAAAGACCCAAACTTCAAATTCCTCGAGAAGCTATTGTTTGCATATAGAGAAAATTGAGCATTAAGGAAGAGGAGAGTAGAGAGGCGACAAAGACAGTGGCCCATGTTTCTGATCCCTCGTATCATGTTATCACTTGAGATTTAGGTTTCACCTGTCTTTAACTGGGCAAAATATCCAAATAGGAGCAAGGAGAGCATCTTACCATTTCCTTCCCTACTATCTTGTCCCTACTACCTCATTGAAATGGAAGGGTTTAAGGAAGAGAGCATTCTTATCATTTTATTTCTCAATTATTTTTATGCTCTCACCTTCCTTTCCAAGGAAATTTCGGGTCAAATTATTGAATAGCGAGAGAAAAGAGAATCCTCTTTCCCCTTTTCTCTCTTAGCTTGTTAGATAGATAAGTAAATTTCTGTATAAAGTAAGAGGAACATTGGTTATGATCCCACCCCCATGAGACAGCCAACAGATTTCAGTTACTGGATTCAGGAATGCCTCATAATGAAGCACATTAGCTACCACATTTCAGTCATTTTCCATGAATATATATGTTCTGATTTGATAACATCAGAGTATAGGTCTTCAGAAGAGAGTACAGCCAAACCTCTTGGCTGAGTGCTTAAACATTTGATGCTTCGAAAATCAAGGCACTCGGATAACATGAGCCAGGCCAATGAGGTTTGGTTATGCTCGTTTTTTATGTCCTTCATGAATCCAGTAATCCCACATTCAGCTTAGCTTACAGTCACCATAATTTGAGCTATAGTTTTACATGATCTGACCCACTAATCCACTATTATTCTTGGTAACTGCAGGATCATCCTCTCGAGGGTATAATAAACCTCAGTTAAGCACCCTTATCATGATCATAGCCCTGCTGTTTTTCGTGCTCGAATGGTGCTTGTTTTGAAACTTTAGAATTGAGTATTAGAGCAGAAGGGCGTTCTTTTATTGCCTTACGCTGCTAGTAATTAAACCACAAAATAGGATAATGTGGTTTGTGCTTTGTATTTATTTTTTCCTTTCACCCTACTAGGTTACAAGTGGTTCTACCCTAGATTTTGACACCTTGTTCTTTCTATATATGTCTACTTTGCTGCTATAAAACTTTGTAAATAATTCTAAGATCTGTCTTGGAGAAGGGTATTTTTGGAGCTTATGTATTTTGTACTTGTTGGACATGTATAATCGGTACTCTATGTGTTAATATCTACCAAGTGTAGCAAAATTAGCTTGGCTAATCCTCACTGAACCAAACAATATGTGGACTAAATTTACTAGACTCAAACATCTAGCAATTTCGAACCTTTTCGGATACCAATTGAAACACGAGGATGCTACTATTTGACGACAAATCATAGCTCAAAATGAAAACTTGATCCGCTATCTTAAACTACACATTGACAATGTTGATGTAAATTTGAAGGTGACAAATATCACCACTGACTATAAAGAATGAGATACTGGTAAGTTATGTAGCAGTACTATATCATGTACGTACAATGTACTCCTTCACTAAATAACACGGTGACTCGCGAACTTCCTCAAAACTCATGAAAAATGGCCTTTCAATGATTGTACAATTCCAAAGGTTAGTTAACAACTTAACATTGAGGATTACCTTCATTGGATTAAATGATATGCATAGATTTCCATATTTTGGCTTGCTATTTTTCAGTTGGTCTTTACTAATATCAATAGCGTCTGTTTCCTAAGCAGAAGGTCGGTCGTAGGTTCGACCCCTACCTGACGCGATATAAAATTTTGTTTTTTTTCCTTTTCTTTTATTTTTATTTAAATTTTTTTTACTTTCATTTGATTGTTTAATCAACATCAGCGTCTGTAGCTCAGTGGATAGAGCGTCTGTTTCCTAAGCAGAAAGTCGTAGGTTCGACCCCTACCTGACGCGTAAAAGTTTTATTATTTTTTTGCCCCCTTATTTCCGAAAAAAAAAAAAAAAAAAACAAAACCAAGTAACGTTTATGATCAATGATCAAATGAACTTTAATCTTCTTGCATTATTAACAAGCTAAACATTTGTACTTTGCATTAAAGCGCAATACTAGCTTAGTGAAAAATCATTAATCAATAACACGATAACAATTTGCAAAACTGTTGTACATTGCTACAACATACAGAGTTACAACGGAATACTAGCTTAGTAAAGAAAAACATCAAGCAACTATCAAATGATATACGATGAAAATACTATTATCTAGGGATCTGTAGTGATTCTATACCCCTGCTTCAAATGTGTAGGCTTAATCCTTTCAAAGACCTCCTTCATCGAAGGTACTCATGAATCCACCGATGAAGCCAGCTCCATTGCAGTCTCCACACAGAATCTCCTTTTTACCTCTGAAAACGAGGAAAGATTTGCTCAAGTTTTTGGGTAAAATGTATTGGTAAGTACTTCAATGCATAAACATGTCTACATATTGTAATATGGGTTGATAGCATACCTGCAAAGCCAGCATAATGCACCGGCCTTAAACTGTCCATTAAAATGATCTTGGGAGTTCACACCAGCTCCTTCACACTGTGAACATACCTTGGCACCTAGCAGTTTAAAGAAAATAATTGATGTTAGAAGGTTATTAGTCCCATCATTTCATCGTATTTTCAAAGGACATGCATTGAATAGAAGCAGGGAACAAAAACGCTGTAGTTTTGATATCTGTCCAAAAATATTAAAACATCACAATGAGCAATGGTTTATCAGCCTTTTTCCCCCCAAATGAACTTATACTTTATATCCTCTATCAGTTCAGGACTAGAGCAACACAGATTTCCGGATTTGACTGCCTATAATGTCTCCGTTCCTAAGGGATCATTAACATTCCCTTGTAGCAAACAGGTCATAGCCAATTTTTAGAACAGAACCTAAAACAATGGGTGGATAATACAAGTCTTGTGTTCCTGTAAAAGACTTCCTAGTGTAGATGCTACTATTGCCAGGAAGGGAGTCTAAGCCTTGTTTCTATCTTTTCTCCGGCCAAAAAACAAAAAGAATAAATTTCGAGATGGGTTGGTGCAAGGAATTCAGAGATTTTAGCTCCTAATCTATACCAAATGATAATCACAATTCACAAAGGAGTGGATGCTACACACAGCCGAAATTTGAAGATATGATCACAAACGAGCAAAATAAGTCCGGTTAGTAAAAATATGTTCAACATACCATTTCCATCACATGCAGCACACACTATGCTATTCACCTTGGTACCTGCACTGCCTCTGTAAGACTTTTGATCTGCTGCCTGTTCAACCCAGAAAATATTGGTTAACACTGTGAAAAACTAAGCATATAATTACAGAAGGAGTATTTATGAGGCGAAAAAGAAACTAAGATCTACCAATCTTTACAAGCTCAACATACATACGATTCTCAAGAGTCAAGACTGCCTAGCTTTTCTAGGAGTAAAGACATTCATTTGGATGAATGAAAGAACAGAACATAAGGCAAAAGTGAAATATTAGTAGATTAATTTCATAAAGTGACTTTCATTATAAATGGCTTCATCTTAGAGTATTGTGCAATAATTAACACATTTTAACAAGATTTTTGGATATGATTAGATAAAGGCTGCTTCAAATTCCCAAATTAAGGAAAAAGATAATCTTTAAACAAAATTGAAGTTTTCTTGTTCATTGGATTTGCGGTTGGCATTCTCTTCATCCAAATTAGAGCTAATTTCATAGCCAATTCCACAATTAGCAAAACTTACATATATAATGAAGGTCTTAATCAAACAACTAATATACTGTAAACACATTAGTTTTAACTTAATACACAACAAATGTCAAAGAATAATCTTAGGCAATCCCACAATACACAAATACCTAGTATATTGCATACAAGTTATGTCACCCAAATCACATACAATTCAATCCTAGGTGAAATTAACATGTTGGATACAATACACCCGTTATATCTAATTAATCACACATAAGTCACTCCGTTGCAACACTTAACTTTTAAGTGACACGAGTAATAGAGCATGTTGTATATAATACACCCGTTATATACACGATTTTGCCATATGCCTAGTACTCAAATTGACCCATGACTGAAAATGAAGTGAACATCCAAAATTATTGAAGAGGGTATCTCACCTTAACCTCAAGAGACTGAAATCTCTCAGTACCCAAATGGGGTTGTCCTTTAACAAACGTTACAATACTAGAATTGCCAATCAAAACCCCTGCAACAACAGTGACAAAAGGAAATGTTAATAAAAAGTACTCAACTTTATGACCAAATTCAGCAATTTTAATAAATTTGATAGATGAATTATGAACCTGGTTTAGTTGGTGTGCTGCTAACAGCAGTTAAGGGAGTGAAACATAGAGATTGCGCCATTGAATTGTAGAGAGAGAAAGAAAAAGAGGAAGAGGAAGAGGAAGAGAGTGTGTTGAGTGTAGAGTAGTTTGGTGGTTGCAAGGGAAAATAAAGGAGCTAAGATAAGGTAAGGTGGTATCTGAATTTCAAGATCACCTCAAATATCTAGATATTCACCTTTTTTTTTTTTTTTTTTTTTTTTTGTTGCCTACTTGCCTTTCTCAAATTTCCTTTTCAAGGGAATAATAGATGCTTAGATACTTGTAGTATTTTCTAAAAAAAAAAAAGTTAGATATTATTATGTAGTAAGACTTAAAGTTATGGATAATAAATGATGGTATAGGTTAATGTAACTCCATATTCAAACTTGTATTTTTTAGATTAACTGAGAAATTATAATTTCAAACTTGAGTGATGATGAAAATCCTTCATCAATGGTAAGAGACTAGTGATCGAATGTAGTCTTGGGTGCCCAGTGTCCCCCAAGCCTTTCAATAGATGTACAATTGTACAAAGTTTCGAGAATAAGGTTGGTGAAAAAATGTGGTTGTTTCTAAATTTTTGTTACATTGGTAGTCAAAAGTTGTAAGAGATGGTTCCAATTATCAATTTGTCACCTTGGGATTCTATAATAAGTTTCTGAAAAAAGTACCTCGATATGTCTAACCTTATTATCTTGTCAACTCTAAAAACATTTGGATTACGAAATCAGACCATTTTTAAGGATTTTGAAACCTTGTGTAGAAATCTCAAATGATGGCAGAGAGACGTCACAGTGTTAAATAATGTAGGCGCATACGTAATCGATTAAAGTGATAGTTTAAAGGCAAATTGGACAATTTCAACCACCCAAATAATCTATCAAGGCCTCTTGGGGATTATGGGAAGCACCCCAACCTCTTTCCTTATTAGGCCTGAAATAGTATAAAATTATCTAGAATTAAAGGTTATAATCCATGCATGCTTTTGGATCGATTTTGGAATTTTAAAAAAAATAAAATAAAGTGAATGTATGGAGGGTCTCTCAAGGGCATACATTTTTGTGTTTGAACCACAATAGGCCTATTAATAGGTCTATAAAGTCTCATAAATGAGATTGGTTCGAATACGTGGCTGTTTCGAAATTATGTTCTCATGATAGTCGAAAGTTGCAAGAGGGGGTGGTTGCACTCACTAATTTAGTATCATGAGGTTCTATAATAAGGTGTTGGGATTAGGGAAGCACCTTGATGCTTAGCCTCATTGGGTTCGAAAATGTTCTCTGAAGGCAAAATTAAAATGCTATTATTCATAAAATTGGACTGTTAATCAAAAACTCAAGTGATACATATTACATGGTAACATTGGTAAGGTAGTAAGGGAGGCATCTAGGTCATATAATGATTTTTGGAACCGATTATGACCACAATCAATCACATAAAAGCCCGTGGTGGGCTTGAGTTAATGAAAGAAAGTATGTATATAAATAACTAAATTGATATTTTTTTTAAGGTGTGGATGGTTCTAATCACATAAGTGGTCCTCCAGCCCTTCGAGATCTTATGGATCCGTGGAAAACACCACGACCTCATTTATTCCTTGCTCAAACTCAAATGAGTAAAAAGTTGTAATCTAAAATTCACGCTTTCATACCAATTTCAAGAATATTTTTGCCGAAGATGAAGTAAACGTGATGGGTATCTTCTAAGGTCATGCAAATTTGTTTAAAATCATAGTAGACCTTTCAATAGATATGTAAAGTCTCAAGAATGAGTCTGGTGAAAATACGTGATTATTTACAATTATGTTACATTAGTAGTCAAGACTATAAGAATAAGGCGTGGTTCAATTCCAGTTATAAACTTGACACATCGAGGTTCTATAGTAATTTACAAGAACGAGAAGCACCTCAATGTCTAAGGTCTAACCTCATCAAGAGGTAATTTCAATCACCAACTTAGCATCCAAGGTTTTGTAATTGTCTAATCTCAGCTCGTTAAGTCTGAAACTGTTCTCCGAGGGTAATATTAGAAGATTATAATTCACAAAATCGAACACGGTGTATTTTGAAAATAGACAATTGGTCAAGAAATGGACAGCTCAACTTTAAGACAAATTACCAGAAAATTCAATTTATTTTACAAACAAAGAGCCTTACCTCAGGTAATGAGGTAAGTTACCTGGGTGTTTATGGAGTTTTACCATAGTAGTGTTCATCAAACATCAGTAATCTGCAAGATTTAAGCTTGCTTTGTTGATATTATGAAGTAACACTGAGGGCAAATTTGTAAATTCCTATCTTTCAAGCTAACTGTTTTTTATCAGGAAAACAGCAACCTTCCATTATATTTTGGGCACAAAAATCAAAGAGTGTAAACCTCAGTTTCATCACAAGCCAAAGAAGAGAGAAAATGGCCAGTGCTCTCTTCTTGGCCACTCCACTTTTCCAACCTTCTCAGAGTATGTCATTTTCCCTTCTTTTCTGTTTATAATACAGAATTTCTTCATTGTTATTATTTAAAAATTTTAATTTCTGTTCTATAGTTGTATTATGCTGTTCATTTAGTTGACCCCATCTTTAAAAATGTCATCTTTGTTTAACTCTGTACATGTTTTTATGTAATCAAAATTTGGAATTATGGGTAAAAAAAAAACATTATTTTTTGCTTAATTTCATGTCCCAATTGACAATTTGGAATGACAACAAAACTGGAAATCTTTTGACAGCATTTTGACAGTTTAATATGGGGGTTTGATTATGTGTTGTTTTATGCAGATAAAGAAGTAAGTGGAAGAGCTATATGTAAGTTCAATAGCTCAATTTTTGGGGAATTGGTTAGGCAACCAAGTCTTGTTCACAAAGGAATTAATCAGAGCTACAAAAATAAGAGTATCTCCATTAGTTCATTGGTACAGAATATATTGTCTTTTCATGTTGATGTATTATTGTGATGCATTATTTTATTCAATTCGACCTGTATAAGTTTAGTGGGCGACTCCTCCTATTGCCAATTGGTTTTACGATGGAAGTTGAGGGGTGCTTCATTTAGGCCATACTAATAGCATCAATTTCTAGCCTTATAGGAATGAAATATGAGAGTTGCTACAGGATAGCTTGATTGGTATATAGAAGAATTTGTGCTTATACAAAAATCAGCCAAGTAATGAAAGTGAGGTGAAATTTTTGCAGTTTGGAAGGAAAGTGAAAGCCAAGACCAAGAGGGAAACTGTGGTACCGGAACCAGATTATCGGATCCCTATCGTTCTACTTGGTGGGTAATTCTGCATTTTCCTTGCATTCCATTGATGTATTGCTTTGTCTGTGCTCCTATGTATGTACTAAGTACTTGTACATTTGATACTATTATAGTAGCATAAAAACCTTTCCCTTAGTACATTTTGAAGCATATATTATTTGGAGCATTATAATTTCTTGTTATAATATGTTCTTTCTGTTTTGATTGAGACAACGAGAACATTTGCTAGCTAACCACTTATACATGTATTTTCTGCCTGCCATAATTTGTTTTCTGAGTTTCTTTGCTTTTGATTCTTATATGGTAACAGGTGCAACAGGTGCTTTAGTTTATACAGACAATCTAGTCGCAGCAGTACCAGTTGGTCTTCTTGGTTTACTCCTCCTAGTTCAGGTATTATAAGGATTATCACCTTTCATAGGTGAATATGAAGGCACTGTTAATCATCGATTTCTTCCTAGTGTGTCAGTTTAGTTCGGAAGCCTAGTATATCAAATATTTTTCTTCTGCTGAAAGATTGTATTGCAATTTATAACATTAACTTCAGCAGTTAACCGTGTTCAATTCCTCGAATTCCAGGCTACAAGGGTTAGATTTGTCTTTGATGATGAAGCTCTGGTTAGTCTGCGCTTAGCTCCTCAAAATATTGTGGTTCTCTCCTTCCTCTTTCACAGTGCACTAAACATCAATATTCTACTTTTTCCTGATTGTAGGAGGTGAAAGTGGGTTCTGAGCTTCAAGAGTCTGGAGAAAATGTGTTTGTGGGCGGAAAGAATCGTTGGAAGTATGTACATCTACACTAACAATCAATGAAATCAATAGCTGACAAGTTAACCACTGAGACATGTTGCAGGTACTCCTCATTCGTAAATTGGGAGTTCTGGTGGCCTAATTTCCCTATCTTGGTGTACTTCAAAGAAACACAAACCAAGCCTGAAGGGCAAATTCACTTCTTCCCTATAATATTTGTAAGTAACAATCTCCAATTTCACTTGGTTTTTCACTATTGACTGATAAGAAAAAAAGTGTGTGCTGAAGTAAGAAAAGTGACAGGAAGATCTTGTTTTCAGTTTTTCTGCATATGTTATCTTTGCATTTTCATCCCAGGAATCCCTTTTGTCCAAGTCATAATAAATGAGAAATTCTCCTTTGTGCAGATGAAATTTAGATGTAAATGTTGATATGTAATTTCTTTTTTTTTTTTTTCCTTCTGATGAACAGAACGGAAAACAACTCTATGATGTCATGGTAGAGCGAGCAGGTCCCTCAAAAACCAGTGGCCCAAAATCAACATGAATAATCGAGTTCAGTTTGTGAGTTAACGTTATGAGTAATTAAGTAGAATGGCATAACCACAGAAATTGAGTACTGATATATGACAAGAAATTTATTCATGTACACTGTTACACAATTTTCTGAATGTCACTTGAGAGCATCTCAAAGCGCTTTGCAAATAATAACTCTGTATGACTGTATCTATTGTTCCTAAACGTCCCACAAGGTGGAAGAACTGATGTATAGACCACTTTTAAATACGAATATACGATGTTTCAGTTGCAAAGATTTAAAGTTATTTTTCTCGTAAATGTAATCAATAATTCTCTCAGTTTATTTGCTGATAAGCATTTTGGATGGTCTTACCTTCAGCAGTTCCTAGCTTCCCGTGTTTCAGAATTTGGAGTTTCGGCATCATCAACTCTGGGTTTATATCGTTTTCTTCTACCCATTCAGAAACCCTTCAAACCCGTTAATGTTAGGAGTTAGCACCTCTCTCTAGAATGTGTCATTTATCTTTCTTTGGATTACCTTCAAACATATTCCATTACTTACTGCCTAAACTCGAGAATAATCTAATTACATGATTCTATTATTCTTCCAAACTCGATATGCTTAA